TTTTCTTTAATACCATATTGCGGGCCCCATAAAGTTCATTACTTCAAAGAACTGATGAGGTATCGCAAGCCAGGTTCCACATCGCGGAGGCCGAGTGGGGGATGGGGGGGGGGTCAGCTCACCACTTGGGGGGCCTAACCCATCATTGGGGGCCCAGCTCAGCATGGGGGGGGGGCTAACCCATCATTGCGAATCCAGCTCAGCATGGGGGCCTGACCCATCACTGGGGGCCCAGTTCAGCATTGGGGGCAAAGCCCCCCAAAGAGATACAAACTTCCACCCCTGACATGCAGTTCAACTACATTGCAGACTTTATGGTGTGTAGTGCTTCATAAGTACAGGACGGCAAGAAAGTGATTGTTGGACCAAAAGATAACGTGGTTGCCAAACCGTTGCTGCTGTGATCAGGTGGACAACATATATGATTTCATATACATGTGCGGCGAGGCTGCTAGGTTTTGTTGGGATTTGGTGTGATGGAGGAACAAGAATGTAGGTAGTAGGCTACGTTTCAACCCCTGGATAATCATATTTAGTTGTAATAGAGCGAGAAAACTCTCCAGTTATGTGGTTCCCCAGCAAAAAAAAACTTTTTGAACATGGTACTTTTTAAGGTGCAAGCGTTGTCAGTAAGTGCTTCTGGGGCCATACAAAAGTACGAAATTGACAAGTGTATCGTCAGCTAACCAGGAGGGAACACAGGGGTATTGTCACGAATGGCGTAGGTTTATGACAATGCAAAGTAGCAATGTTCACGGATGTAGTAGCTCTTCGTTCCATTGTCCTCGTCTGGTGTGTTAGTATGTACCATGAGAGCAAACGGAGACATCACATGAGGCCGATAGTCACATCAATCATCACTATAGTCACAGATAGTCACGTCACTATAGTCACATCAATTGTTTCATCCGTGATAACAATATCTCGTCACGATCCTTCTGTAAAGCTGTAGCAATGCTATTCTGCATTGCAATGTGTACTCAGGTATCCATATGGCAGCTTTCTTCATGTCCTGTGGCAAGAATAAGTCGTCAAAAAGACTACAGAGTGCCGATACTGAGAACTGTGTCAACAGTGCTTGAGAGAGCACACCAGGCAAGGGTGATGGTCTGATAAAACGTTTTTTCACTTGCCGGTGGAGGAAATTTCGATGCACTGCTACATTCGGACCAAAGGCGTGTTCGTCGCTGGGCAGCCACAACTGGTGTGTGCCATTCGTCCAGACCACATGGCCCGTCATTTCTATGTAAACATACGGTCCGGTCTGGACCGTTGTACTGACACGTTTGTAGTGGCATCGCAGCGAACAACGCATGCCGGGCTGTATGAATGGAACGTTGGAATTGCGTCTCGCGCTGTTCGAGGGGCATTGCTCGTAAGATTCAGTTCAGTTGTTTGTCAATATCCTGCTATCTGATGCAGTGTTTTGTGGATACACGCTCATATCATGAAAAACATTCGTATGCGCATCTCCTGGGGATCACGGCAACATTGTGCACGGAATGCAGTGATAGACCGCCTGTTAACTCACACTTGAACACGTAAGAAGTTGGTGTTCTGACTCCGAAGGGCCATGTGCCTTCTTGCGTTACTGGTCGCACAGCCTCCTTTATAAACTCATCCGCAGATGTCGCCTCGGACGCATGATATGTGAAATGCATCAGGTTCGAAATCGTTTACCCAACCAACATGACAAAATGTGAGAGTATCTAATGAGACTTCGCCTGTACGAAGCTGTTTTGCCCTGTTGTGCGACCTTATGGAGACTTCATCGCATTCATTCCTAGCCATGCTTTGGTGGCATACTTACCCCGCAGGCAACATGCGTCAAGTGACTGCGTGGCATATATATATATATATATATATATATATATATATATATATATATATATATATATATATATATATATATATATATATGTGTGTGTGTGTGTGTGTGTGTGTGTGTGTGTGTGTGTGTGTGCGCGTGCGTGCGTGCGTGCGTGCGTGCGTGCGTGCGTGCGTGCGTGCGTGCGTGCGTGCGTGCGTGCGTGCGTGCGTGCGTGTGTGTGTGTGTGGTGTGCATACATATGTCAATATGAATATACGGCAGGAGGCCAGGAGGAGCGCTTGCTCCTCAACTTTTGAACAGGAGACAGCGCGTCCCAAATTGGGTGGCGCTAAAGGGGCCAGTTTGTATTTGGATTTTCATAGCAAGATTCAGAGAAACTTTGGGCTGTTTTGTATTCCTTTTTGTTCTAGTTAACTATGGTTTCGTTTAGCGAGATCGAGACAATATTTTGGAGCGGTAGAAGTTAGCTGCTTTACGAGTCTTGGCCGCAATGGCACATTTTCGAGGATGAATAATCTGCTCGCTGTTTTGTTTATATTTACCTGTTTATACCTGACCACCGTGCACAGCCTCAAATCGACATCACCATTGTCCCTACCACACCCGACCTGTGAGGGACGGGTGTAGGTAAAGGCTTCTGCTAATAACACTGACCCAGGGGCGGGTACACGATGTCGTCAAGAGGTGACCAGTCGGCATATGTTCGTCAAGTAGGCAATATACACCGATTCATTTTCATGTCGATATTCGTGACTTTGACGTACGTTGACGTCCCACACGGGTTTTTGTCTGCCTCAGCTTTTGTGCTCGTGGCGTTGCAAAAATCGATATTCATAGTTTACGGTTGATAGTGCATAGTGAACTAGATAAAGAAGTCACTATTCATAGTTTTAGAAATAATACACCGATAAAGAATACACGGAAGGAAGACCTCGGACCCCGCCCTTGTCTGGTGTGTTAGCGTGCACACGACACTACGGCCAGTTAGTTCTCCCTCCGCTGTCAGTTGTCAGCGAGTCCTGAGAACGATTGGATGTTTGTGACGCAACCCGAACACTCAGCTTGGAATTCGCTGGGATTCGAACCAGCGTCCTCGGATCACGAGTCCAGTGTTGTACCACCGGAGCCAACCAGCGAGAACAACGGTTTGGTGTTAGAATTTGGGTGATTCATGTCCTGGATATTTGGGGATTTTCCCGCAAAACACGGAGCCTTAATGAGCTGATATGTACGCTTGGCATACTTACGAGGTTGGTGGCCATTGGCATGTGTGCTACTTCCTCGGTCTTCCGAAGTTTCCAGTGTTGCTCTCTAGTGATTACAGATTATAGAGAATAACACTGGAAAGTTAGAGAGATCAAGGTGGCAACACACATGGGAATGGCTAACGACCCCATTAGTAAGCCAAACATGCATATTAGCCCATTATGGCTCTCATTTTGCGGCAGTTCGCAAATATACAGGATATAAATAACACCAAGTTCAAACACGGAACGATTGCCTTTCCCGATTAGCTTAGTTGCTGGAGCACTGAACTCGCAGCCAACGGGTCCTGGCTCAAATGCTAGCAATTCCAATAATAAAATTAGGGTTGTGACGCGTGCTTGGCTGAAAGCTAAACGCCATCCCGTTTTTCTCACGACTCAACAGCATCTGCCAACGACCGAAGTATTAACTGGCCGAAGCGTTGTGTACATGTTAACATACCATAGGAGAGCGGTAGTCCAAAAATGTTCTACAGGTGTCCACATCACTATTTGCACAGAATTTTGCAACAATGGAAGAAGTGAGTTTCAAATTATATATTCCGCCCAGAGTCCGTTTGTCAGTGATAGAAGGGCTTGTTGACCGTCCCGAGACCTGCAGACACCTGTACAGTCCCGGAAAATACTAGGCTTTCGGCATGGCTTGAACGTCGCTTTTGGTAAAAAACTGAGAGCACTGCGTTTTTCGCGTCAGTCACGCTGATAATCTCAGTTCAGATATATGTCGCTGTGATAAGTCGTGCCATTTACCTCTGCACCAGCGTCTGTATAATTTAAGGCATCGCGCGTCCTTGGAACGCGGAAGCGACATACGCTTCGAGCGCTAAGCCGTATCCGCCAAGGCGTTACCCGGCGTCCGCGGGTGTATCCGCTAATGCGTTACTCGGCGTGCGCAGGTGTACCCGCTAATGCGTTACTATCCGCTAATGCGTTACTCGGCGTCCGCGGGTGTATCCGCTAATGCGTTACTCGGCGTCCGCAGTTGTACCCGCTAATGCGTTACTATCCGCTAATGCGCTACTCGGCGTCCGCGGGTGTATCCGCTAATGCGTCACTCGGCGTCCGCAGGCGTACCCGCTAATGCGTTACTATCCGCTAATGCGTTACTCGGCGTCCGCGGGCGTATCCGCTAATGCGTTACTCGGCGTCCGCAGGCGTACCCGCTAATGCGTTACTATCCGCTAATGCGTTACTCGGCGTCCGCGGGTGTATCCGCCAAGGCGTTATTCGGCGTCCGCAGGTGTAACCGCTAACGCGTTGCTCGGCGTCCGCGGGTGTATCCGCTAATGCGTTACCCGGCGTCCGCGGATGTATCCGCTAATGCGTTACTCGGCGTCCGCAGGTGTACCCGCTAATGCGTTACTATCCGCTAATGCGTTACTCGGCGTCCGCGGGTGTATCTGCCAAGGCGTTACTCGGCGTCCGCAAGTGTACCCACTAATGCGTTACTCGGCGTCCGCAGGTGTACCCGCTAATGCGTTACCCGGCGTCCGCAGGTGTACCCGCTAATGCGTTACCCGGCGTCCGCAGGTGTACCCGCTAATGCGTTACTCGGCGTCCGCAGGTGTACCCGTGAATGCGTTACTCGGCGTCCGCGGGTGTATCCACTAATGCATTACTCGGCGTCCGCAGGTGTACCCATGAATGCGTTACTCGGCGTCCGCGGGCGTATCCGCTAAGGCGTTACTCGGCTTTCGCAGGTGCATCCGCTAATGCGTTACCCGGCGTCCGCAGGTGTACCCATGAATGCGTTACTCGGCGTCCGCAGGTGTATCCACTAAGGCGTTACTCGGCGTCCGCAGGTGCATCCGCTGAGGCGTTGCTCGGCGTTCGCGGGTGCGTCCCCTAAGGTGTTACTAAGCGCCCGCACGTGTATCCTCTAAGGCGTTCTTCGGCGTCCGCAGGTGACTGACTTCGGCCCTCTGGTGGTGATGCCAGGCCTCGTCGACAGTCACGTGCACGTTAACGAGCCGGGCCGCACCGAGTGGGAAGGCTTCACCAGCGCCACCCGGGCGGCGGCGGCCGGCGGCATAACCACCATCGTCGACATGCCGCTGTGAGGCGCCACCGGCGGTTCCCCTGCTCTACTGCTCTGGGCGTGACCAACTGGGTTATCAGCCCGGGTCGGTGGGGAAGAGGGAGAGCATGGACAGTGGGCAGTGAGGATTGGACATCGGCGCCCAATTTTATTATATTGCGCCGTCGACAAAATGTAAGGCTAGCATTCTACCGTGGTTAGCAATAAGAGACGAAAAACCGCGTTTTCACAATGACGAAAAGAATGTTCCTCTATCGCATGCATTTCAGCTTTCCTTGGACACCACCAACTTGGTAATGGGCCGGCGGGCTGTGAGGTTTAACTGGAGGGCGTCCAATTTATGGAACATGCATGGATGTCGGGGAACGCTTGCGAAGTTCTCTGTGACACAGCCGATACTAATAATGGAACGCGATCAGGGGTGCATATAAGATGTCGCAATGGGAAGACATAGGTCAGAATTTTGCACTGAAAAAACACGGTTTCTCGCCGCAGGAACGTATAAGTCCGTGAATAGTGCGTAAGAACACGCCATTTTTGAAGTTTTTCCTTTTGTGCGTCTCTCGCGGTGTTCGAGCTGCCAATATGTATTCACTGTTGCACGTGAACGCGTGTACAAACTCGATGAGGATAGCTGATTTGCCCCTAATTATTCCCTTGAATACGCCCCTGAGCCCCATGCAAAAACGTGCACATCCTCTGACAGGCACGACCTGCGACCTGTCCTGCCTCGCGTTCGTCCACCGTTCCACGCCTGACGTTACTGGTCGGCCTCCACGCGCCTCAGGAACTCGATCCCGCCGACGACGACGCCGGAGAACTTGGCGGCCAAGCTGGACGCGGCCAAAGACCAGTGCTTCGTGGACGTGGCCTTCTGGGGCGGCGTGGTGCCGGGCAACGAGGCCTGCCTGCGGCCGCTGCTGGAGGCCGGCCTGCCCGGCTTCAAGTGCTTCCTCATCAACAGCGGCGTGGACGAGTTTCCGCATGTGACCGCTGACCAGGTGGAGACGGCACTGCAGCGGCTCTGTGGCACGGGCGCCGTCCTCCTGGTGCGTATTTACGGCGACACTAGGAGTTACACGCTCGCGTTCACCTAGGGCCTGTCCATGAATTTCGTAACGCATAGATGGGAGGCTTTTATGGAGCGTAACGGAAGCGTAACAGCGAAAGCGAGGGGAGGTTTTGGGCAGCGTAACGTTTCGCTCAGGCGCGGTTGAAGATAGTGCTAAAATATTTCGACACGCATTAAAACCTGAGAGACGGATACTGCTGGCTTTGTTTCTAGACAAGGAACACGAACCTTATTTGTTTTGCATCTTCAGCTCGGTTAAAGACAAATGGACGTCGTTTTGGGGAATAACGTCCACACGGCGACTTCGCGTCCTGATTGCGCTTAATACATCGTAGCTAGTGCGTAACCAGGATGAAAGAGTTGGGAAAATAAAAAAGACCACATTTTCCGCCATTTCCACCAGGCTTAGTAACCAGGATCCAGGCTACCATCCCATGTTGTGTGATTCTGAGGCAAACACTCCCTCAACCGAGCTATGCTCTTCCCACCCCACCAGCCAAATACCAAACGCACCATAGTGGGTCTGATCAGGCAAAAAGGTTTTTTATGAAAAGCTTTACGTTTCGATACCGCAACTACTAAGCACTCTTAGGTGTTGAACAACCGGCGCGACCAATGGCGAAGCTTTTTTGTCTTCGACGGTGCCTTACTGGTGTAATTTGCTTTCAAAGTCATCTGGTATCCCAATGCCGTTCAAGGTTATCCGACCTATTGCACACGCGCGCAGTAACTTGCCTCAAATAGATTCTCTACGCGAATGCATGTTTATGTCAGTAATGGAACAGAATAGTATCGTTGTCAGAATTTGAATGCAATCGTATTCCTTCCCTTGCTTCGGCGGGATATTGTGCATGTGGCAGAGCTGGCTTTAGCGGGCATTCGATGATGCGACAAACGCCGCTCACCTCATCACCTCCTCACCTCCTCACCTCCTCACCTCCTCACTTCCTCACCTTCTTACCTCCTCACTTCCTCACCTTCTTACCTCCTCACCTCCTCACTTTCTCACCTCCTTACCTCCTCACCTCCTCACCTCCTCACCTTCTTACCTCCTCACCTCCTCACCTCCTTACCTCCTCACCTCCTCACCTCCTCACCTTCTTACCTCCTCACCTCCTCACCTTCTTACCTCCTCACCTCCTCACCTCCTCACCTTCTTACCTCCTCCTCACCTCCTCACCTTCTTACCTCCTCACCTCCTCACCTCCTCACCTTCTTACCCTCCTCACCTCCTCACCTCCTTCACCTCCTCACCTTCTTACCTCCTCACCTCCTCACCTCCTCACCTTCTTACCTCCTCACCTCCTCACCTTCCTCACCTCCTCACCTCCTCACCTTCTTTACCTCCTCACCTCCTCACCTCCTCACCTCTCACCTCCTCACCTCCTCACCTTCTTACCTCCTCAACCTCCTCACCTCCTCACCTTCTACCTCCTCACCTCTCACCTCTACCTCTACCTCCTCACCTCCTCACCTTCTTACCTCCTCACCTCCTCACCTTCTTACCTCCTCACCTCCTCACCTTCTTACCTCCTCACCTCCTCACTTTCTCACCTTCTTACCTCCTCACTGCCCCCCACGGCCAGGCTTATGATGTAAATCATCGCTGGCGTTGCGGTATTTGTAAGGCTTGTGCGCCGCGCAAGGGAGCTAGGCCAAAAACGTAGGGACCCTGGAGATGGGCCATTTTATAGTCGAAATGGTTGTGAACAGCCTCAAACAGTAGCACGCCTGTCATTGGCGTACAGGTATAGGTCATCTTGTCCCGTGGGGTATTCAGTGTCTTTTGCCGGCTGTCAAAGTGTCCTAAGGGAAAAAGCTGGCGCACACAAGCTGCACCGATACAAATCCGTTCACAAACGTCATCCGGTTTTTGGCACCAGACAATGAACGATGTCACCATCGAAACTGGCAAATTTAGGAACGCTCATATCGATCCCCGTGTGTGTGCGGCGGCGGCCAGCGACACCAAGTGTAAAGGACAGAAGTGTAACCATGCGGTCGCGAGATGGAAATGGACGGTCACTCTTCTAACTAGCATGTTGCTGCCAGCAAATGTCTGAAAGGCCCTTTGTACAGTGATACGCAACCGTCGCTGCTTGCGGGTGCGAACAAGGCTCCATGAAAATCACGTTGTTGTTTGTGTTTGTGTGAGTCGGAAGTGGCACCTTGTGTAACGGACATCCCGCCTTTCTGTGTTTAGTTTCATGCTGAGGTCGACATCGGAGTGGATCCCCCCGGAGGGGACCCGAAACAATACGCCACCTTTTTGGCCTCGCGACCCAGGAAAATGGAAAATGAAGCCATCAAGGTCGTTGTGGAGCAGTGTCGAAAATATGGGTAATGATTGCAATTTTTTTCGTAAAGCATTCGAGCACACGCTTCATGATGAATACATTTGTCTTCCGTTGGTATTTACCTGACACGAACTAGCGCGCTGTGATCAACTGCCGTGACATGATGCTGCTGCATTTCTTCTATTCCCAACATCATCTCCCGCAGACTATGAGTTGAGAGGCGTGTGATGTTGTGACGACAATATTCCAGAGTGCGATGCCACATCGTGCACCTGTCCTCATCGGACGCCCTGGAGATGATCGCAGAGTGCAAGTCGACAGGCGCGCCTCTGACGGTGGAAACATGCAACCACTACTTGACGTTCCAGTCGGTAGATATCCCTGATTGCGCCACCCAGTACAAGTGCTGTCCACCGATCAGAGAAGAAGAGAACCGGGTGAGAAGGCACGATCCTACTCAGTGTTTTTGATATGCATTGGGTGTGCTATAATGATGCCGACATAGTTAGGGTGAAAGCAGGAAGCAGTTGCGAGGTGCGAGGTCATATGTTGAAAAGTTGCGCAAACCGCCGTATCTTTGCATGACATATGTTTGGTGCCACCTATTTTCCCGCATCCGTCCTCGTTTTCTCAGCCTCCCTTCATCCTGTATCTACTTGACGTCGTTTTATCCGGGGCAGCCACATGCACCATCCATAGGTGGGCGTGAGCCCACCTATTTTGCCTCCATATTTTGCGGGCAGGTTGTGCTATTTGTCATTGTTTAGCCCTCTCCCCAGCTCGTGTTGCGAAACTATGGCTCTGATATTTTTGTTCTTGGGCAGTATTCTTTTATCAATTCAAGTTGCATTACATGCAAGGGCAAATGTACATTTTAGCATCCGTCCCCACCGGTGATCGTAACCAATATAGTGCAGGAACTGAAATGCCCGCACGGAGGCTGTCGGCCCCACAACATGACCTATATCGGAATGACTGTGACGTCTTCATCTCGACGCATGGTAGTTAACCAGTAGTAAGCAGCGTCAGACCAGAATATGTGAAAAATCCGCAACAAAAAACTCATACGCTCTGACGTAACTGAAAACACCAGCTGGTTTTAAAATTGTGCACAAATAAACGTCGTTTTCAAGTTCTCAAAATCATCCTCTTCGGAAGTAAAATACCGGACTTAGACAAACGGTTAGGTCATGCATCACTGGGAACCTATTCAGTCACTCAATGACAGCAAGGTAATCAGTGTCTTGATCTTACCATAGTGTCAAACTGACTGCACGTGTTCACATGGGTTTTGTACCCCGGCCGATACTTAGATGTACAATTTGTTAAGTGATTGCACACCTTTCATTGTGTCTCTTAGAGCATGTATCGTATTTCGCCATATTCGAATGTTTTCGGCCAACTGTCTTACACCGATTTTGGAATAGGAACGAATTTCCTCGAAACTAGGTTAAACTAATGCAAGTGACTATAGATGAACTGAGTTATGACTAACCGAAAACAACAAAGGAGGTAATCCGAGCGATCGAGCAAGCGCGCAAGATACTGAGAAAATGTATGCTTTCGCTTGCATGTAATACATCTTATATGTATATTCGTGTATGTGTGTGTGTGCGTGCGTGTGCGCGCGCGTGCGTACGTGCGTGGGTGCATGCATGCATGCATACATGCGTGCGTGCGTGCGTGCGTGCCTTGATGATTGCAAAAGTATTGGAATCTTCCGTTCTGGTTCTTTCTGTAGATAAAGGTACGAATAGAAATGTTCAATTGTGGTTGATGCACCTCATTTGACATGACGCCATTTGTCCTTTAGCCGTCTTCCTCTGAATGTGTAAAAGATACCACCTTGAAAAAGAAACGTGTCGCAAGAAGCCTTGATAAGTGGAGTCCAAATTGTACTGACAGCCGAGCCAGTCGGCTCACTGGATGCCGCTCGCCCATGAGAGGTACCCGTCACGGCGAATCTTGCCTTGCTCATACGTAGGGTGGTGTCTGTTCCTCATATAAAGGACATGCTCGAAGAAAGCACGTGCCTTGACATGGCGCTTGCTCGCAGACGTCATTTCCTCGTCATCTGCTTCGTGACAGTAAATCGAGCCATGTCGCGTCCTCCTGCCACGGTACTTGTGGTATACGCACTCTTCACATGTGGGCCGACGTTGCCACTGCAGGAGGCGCTGTGGGAAGCGGTCAAGAGCGGGCTGATCGACCTGGTCGTCTCGGACCATTCGCCATGCACGCTGGACCTCAAACAGCCCGGTGTGATGGACTTCATGGAGGCCTGGGGCGGCATCGCCTCCGTCCAGTTTGGTGAGCACTTCGTGCACGATACCAGCAGACGAGGTGGCGAGGGGACTGGGCGAAAACACATGAACACCCCCACTAACTCCCGCTCCAGACTGGCGTGTGCGTTGCTCTTATTATTCGGAAACAAAGTCATATATCAATTCAGGGCTACACTTTCGTTTATCCTAGATCTCCTGCATTTCAAATTGGGAACCAAATTATGTATCAGTCTAATAATACCAGCGTGAAAAGGCTAGTGACAACTCAAATATCAAGAAAAAATGGGGCATCCTGCCCATAAATAACGCAACTACATAAGGACATATGTATGGAGTTCGTTTGCTCAATTGCGGCGGTTCTGCTCACGCATGCCTTGCGCTAAAGCAGTCACGGCAAAGCCAAAGCAGTCACGGCAAAGTCAAAGCAGTCACGGCAAAGTCAAAGTCACGGCGCAGTCAAAGCAGTCACGGCAAAGTCAAAGCAGTCACGGCGAAGGCAAAACAATCACGGCGAAGCAAAAGCGGTCTCGGCGAAGTCAAAGACGCGTCGCCTTTCGACTCTGGCTGTATTGTAGGCGTGTTCAGCAGGCCAGCTTGTCCGTTCGTACAATTGGTGGCATGGCGTCTAGATGCAAGATGGCCGCGCAGTTTCTCAGGTTGCGAGTGACTAGCACACGTTTTGGAAGGGTCAGCGAATGAAATACGTAGATATCGACGGCAGTCAATCATTCCAGCTGTCGTGAGGCATCGCTGAGGAGGTCATATTTTCTACGTCCTGAGACCACTCGTCCTGCGGCGTTCAGCAGCTTATGACGTCATGCTGTTTGAGTGGCGTTACATGTTCCATCACACGGATGCAGTAACGGGCCAGTGAGATGATCAGGTCCTGGGCCGGAGTGGCCGGAGATTGGCTGCGTCTTCTGTTGCTGAGGCAGATGAAGAGACCTAACCATCGCTGCGCCACGTCATCCATGTGTGCAGAAAACGGTTTACGCTGGTCAAATGCCGCTCCCAGGTGGGAGAGCGGCCGGAGACTTCGACGCGTGCCGAGGACTATGAGCTATGTTTTGTTGTGCTCTGACTTTAATGCCATTCTGCTGAGCCGCTTGGATAGCATCGAAATTTTTCATGAATCCAAACAGGGCATCAGTGTTAGCGGGGCGCCACGCACAAGACGTGGCTGTCATTCGCGTAACGTATAACACATTTTCATTATTATTTATTCAGTCAGTCAGTCAGTCAGTCAGTCAGTCAGTCAGTCAGTCAGTCAGTCAGTCAGTCAGTCAGTCAGTCAGTCAGTCAGTCAGTCAGTCAGTCAGTCAGTCAGTCAGTCAGTCAGTCAGTCAGTCAGTCAGCGTCAGAATTATACAGGCATGCCATTAACGTTATATGTTATATGCCGCCGCCGTGTTATACAACTGCCGCCTAGCGCTGATCCACAATATGTCCCGAAGGCTTTGAGGAGCAGTGACATACACGCTATGTTACATACACACAATAGGACCGCCACTTGGTGCTTAGGTACATGCCTGCGGATAGTGATAAGCCTTGCTGTCGCGGGATATCTCACACATCGTTAGAAAGTCGTACTTACACGATTATTTGCCTTGAGTAAGCCGACCAAAAGCATTTTCCTCTCTGACATATTGTTTTGACAGTCCTACCTGCGCGCCATCTTGCCTTCCACGTGCGGTGTCTTCTGAGTGGTCCCTGAGGCGCGGCCCGCTGCCGGACGGCCCTCTGGTCAGAGGCGCCACTTGACCCGGCCTCTCGTGGGGCTGAAGTCGCGCTCGTTGTGCCGCAGACCTGCCGGTGTTTTGGACAGAGGCGGCGCGGCGCGGCCTCTCCCTGCACGACGTGTCGCGCCTCATGTCCAACAACACGTCCCGCCTGGCCGGCCTGCAGTCCCGTAAGGGGGCGCTGCGGGACGGCATGGACGCCGACTTCGTCGTCTGGGACCCCGACGAGGAGTGGACTGTAGCCGAGGAGGATATCATCTTCAAGAACAAGGTGGGCGGGGAAGGACCCTAAAGTAGTTAGAAGTTACTTGGTCTCATCGTTTTGAATATAGTAAGCTATACAATCACATGGTTTGCATGGCCGGATTGGTCAACATTCCAGGTGTCTACCCTCCGCTATGAGTAAGCCTGAGGCGAGTATGGGATGTCCGCGTGTTGTTATCTTTAACGCCTTCACCATTGCGTCCACACTGTTGACCTGTTTATGCACTGGCCGAGCGTAGTGGACAAGTATGGCCAAAAGCGACCTGCCTCCAAAAGGGCTGAGTCGCAGGGCTCTGTCGGGTAATTGGCAGCTTGTTAGCCGGGCGATGTCAGATATTCACCGTCCAATCCCGCGCACGGCAAACACTTGCACTAATAGCGCGGGCTGGCGGCTATTTCAGATATCTCCGTACATCGGGAGGCGTGTACGCGGACGAGTCCACCAGACCCTGGTGCGGGGGGAGGTCGTGTTCAGCGACGGTCAAGTGGTGGAGGTGGCCACGGGCAGTCAGCTGTTACTGGGACCGCCAGCGGCAGAGCCCGACGCCGCCAAGCTGTGAGGAGGACGTGTTCGCGTAGTGGTCGTGCTCGTCACAGGAGAGCGCCCATACCACCAGGGGCGTTATGTTTGCTGCTCGAAGTTAAGATTAGTCAAGCAGGGGCTTCGTTGCTTATAATAGAAATGTCCCGGCCTCTGCAAAGGCATGGATCAATCAATTCAAAGCCGCGTAAGCCCAAAAATCCGCTAATATCACTCTGTCCCTAATTGTGTGCCATATGCAAAGAAAGCCATCAGAGCGTTTGTTTGGGGATAATGAAGACTGAATGGGCGTGCCCATAATGATGACTTCTGCATCTTTTCGTCATATGGAAGCATCTCTTTGCTGTGCGAGCCCTTTTCATCTCCGCCTTCCGCTTTCGCACAAACAGGTGGTCTGCTGCTGGCTGCTGGTGAATGCTTCAGGGGTGTACAATCTTAGGCAAGACAAGCAAATTCCCTCCGACTAGGAATACGGCCTGTGCTAGGGATTTCAAGAGTGGCTGTCGTGTTGTCATGTTTATGATCCAATTATTTTGATTGATAAACAATAAACAATTGCCATGGACAGATGCAAAGCATTGCTTCAGGTAACTGTGCATCTCCACTGCAACAGCTGAGCGTCCATGTCTGCGTCTGGCCGAAATAGCGCGCACAGCAACGAAGATTCTCCGTGAGCGGGAACTGAGTTAGTCTGAACGAAATCTGATGTCGATGCTAGAGTTTAGCGGCCGTCCCAGCCCGGTTGGTCACGTTTTGACGCACTTCTACCGTGAACACACTCGCAACTGGCTGTGCTGCCGTGTGGTTTTACAAATCAAAGTAGAGTATTATTTTAGCAGACTGTGTTTTAACACGCGCTGGAGTGAGTGAGGGCGGGGCAATTTGACCCCAACCACGGACGGTTTTTCGAGAATGCTCCCGAGCAGCGCGGTGCCGCCGCGCCAAGCTTAGCATAGCTGTAGCAAATCGAATCGTGAGCATTTTGGGATAAAAATAAGATGTATCTTGTTACGCCGCTGACCTGTGTCAGGTTAAATCTAGACCGTGGCTGTCGGCAAAGGTCATTCTTAAGGAAGCGTTAAATCTGAGGCGACAACGGAATGTTATGCGAAGCCATATATCTCTAGGATATTTTCTTAGCCGATCAAACAACTGGATTTATAATTACAAGTAATTCCATTCACATTGGGGCGTTATGAAGGTCGGACCGAGGGAAAATCAATTTGCTTTTTTACTCGAAAGCTTGCTTTATGGTATAGTTTCTAGTGCTCATTTCGTTTTCTAATGACAGGGTCCGCAAAAGATATGCTCCATGGACTTCTCAAAGGTCAGAGTACGCTCCTAACCTCAACTGACCCATGTCAACATTCGGGTTTAAGGAACATGCCGCCTAGCGCGATTGCTGACGCTTTTTCTTATGACCAAATAGACGCTATCTCGTAAGTTTTTGATCACCTTGATCTTCTTTATCCAAGTTTAAGGCGGTTGTATGAGGAGATCTGGGGGCACTTTGGACGCCAATCTTGAGTTTGACCTTGTTCGGCATTTTTGGGCCTAAGTTCATGGCCTAGGAACTTCACATTTTGGCACAAGTAAGCTCGCATATCGGGTAATCCACACGGTGAGTTTGGTGTCTCTAGCTCTCTTAGTTTTTGAGGTTGCAAGGGGTAAATTCCCCCCCCCCTTCCCGAGCGAAGGGCGTTTATTCAATGGGCTATGCGGGCGCCTGTTTACAACGTGTTTACAATGCCTGTTTGACAGCCACCCTATGAGGTCAGGAGTGGTTTGGTGGGACCTGGACCCAGAGAGATTGGGTGATGAAAACCGCACGGACTTAAAACCCACTTTGACCAATATCCACGCAAGATAATTCTGTATCAGTTTTTTCAATACTTTAGTCACGTTGGCAAAAAAAAACTTGTGATGCAAAAAAGCGGCCTCCTGGTACGCGGAGGGTGCTGTCTGATCCTGAGCAGGAACCTCCTAATTCATAAACCTTGCGAACAAGCAAAAGGGCCTCGTTCACAAGTGGATGTCTTGATCCAGAGCATGGACTACCTAGCCATATCGGAGTCACCTGATCGAAAACGTGGGTATCTTCATACATCAAAGGGTCTTTTGAGCCCGATTTAGTACCCCTTACCTTACGAAGGGGGCCTCCTTGATCTGAATTTCTTTAACACACGCACATTTTCCAAGCCCTCAGTTTGGAGAAAAGAGACCTGGCAAAAACTGTATGAGGGGGGGGGACAAAAACGCACCCGAGTAATGGCCAGCTGTTCTTTCCGCCCACTTCCCCTGCCGCTCCGCCCGGCCGGCGCCCTCCGCCAGCGGCGCGCCCCTGGCGTATGACAGGTTATGACAGTTTTATGCGCGCCCTACTGTGCCCAAATGTTTTTTCTAACTCGCAGGTAGATGCGCGTCTCTTCACGTCTTGAACCATGCAAAAGGCCTGACATTGGCATGTGAATGTGTGAGGGTCACCAATCCATGATTCACCATTGGTAGACGCTCCCATATGCCCTCGACATTATGAGGGCACTCCGTTGTTCACGGTAGAGAGTAGCCATCCGGTACACCCGGGTCTTCTCCGCGGGATTCCTGAAGCTCACGCGCGTGCGTACGGAGCTGGCCAAACGCTGTGATAGATTCTGCGCCGCGGCTGCATGAAACAAAGGTCCCGCTTGTACCAGAGGGTTTAAAAACGCGCCTGCCTGCCGGAGAAAACTTTTGGCAGGACCAAAATTTCTGTCCTGCCCGGCAGCTTTCAGACTAGAAAGATGCAGTTTTAAACGCAGAAGACAAAGTATTTCGCCATTTCTTGTGTGTTGCAAAAAAGCCAAATTTCCAGGTACGTTGGAGATATGTGTAGAAGACTGTCCTATCTGATACGCTCAGGGGCGCAGCTAGGGGTGTCAATTTCTGTGAATTGTTTGAGGGGAGCCGAAACAAAGGCCCGATAACCTAGCCCCCCATTTTTCATTGGATTTAGCTCACTTAATTTTATTAAACGCAATATATGTCTTTAATCTTTGTATGATTTATAAAAGTATTTAATCTCAGCAGTATAGAAGTCTCACAGGGCTGGATCCAGGGAGCAGGCACTGGACGCACGCGTCTCTTCTGATCGGCACGTACACGCGCCCCTTTGGAGACCGCCTTAGGGCGCCGATGGTGCTCCTCACGGTCACGGTCATCACGGTCATCTTGGTTGTGCAGGGACGGGGACGGGGTACCCGTTCCCGTCCCGTTATGGTCATGTCATGTCATGGTCATATCCCGTCATGGTCTGTCATAGTCATGAAGTACTTGGGTCCCATTCCCATATTCCAGAGCTTTTCACCTCAACCTCACAAACTATCGTGTGTCTTATGGTGCTAGGCGTGTGAAGTTTATTGCATCGTTTATCCGTCAACTGTTACGATTTGTATCTGGTGGCGAGAGCAACCATGACTTTTCGTCATGGGAGTGGTACGAGACGCCACTACGCAGAAAGATCAGAAAGATAGTCTTTATGTCGTGATCATTTTTGCTCACGTTTTTTGTGTGGAATTCCAACCAAAAACATTGGGAGGACCCAGCCAACATGGGGGGCCCAACTCAACGGTGGGAGAGGGGGGGGGGGGCAGGGTCAGCCTGGCCAGCCCATGTTCGTCTTGATGTGTTCAACCCGTAGTCAAAATCGATTCGTGAAATGATTATGCCACATACTTTTGAACAGACACGCTGGCAAGTATTAGGAACGTCATCCCCTAACTCTGGTATTGCAGCCTACATAGGCCTCGCGGCGTCGGCTCCGCGGCTTACGCTGGGGCGTCGGCCGACGGGCGGACGGAAATGATAGGCATCGCAGAGAAGTACCTTTCAACGCACTAGGAAATGAACTTGCACACCTAGAATACAGTTCTGGCTGATGTTTCACTTGTGCGATTTTGAGGTTGGTAATAGGAACGAACCAGTATTTACAGCTCCGCGAACTGATACTGGAATCTGATGGTAGAACTACTGAGGAGGAGTAAAATGAAAAAATAAATGCATAATCTCTGCTTTCCATGGTGCTGCAATTGTTAGTCGGCTTAGGGGGCAACCTCACAATTAGGCATGTGAAAGAGACACCTCAGTATAATCGTTTAGCGATATATATTTTTCAAATTGATGCGTGTATGCAATTATTTTGAAAAGCTTCCGGAAGCATCATTTTACAATGGTCGTTCTCGAGTGCCCGGTACACTGCTGTTGTTTGTAGAAGCCATCGCTGCTCGATTTACCGAAAGCGCAGCCCCCGACAATAGCTGTTCTTACTTCCAAGGCTGCTAGCGCGCATGAGCACAGCTTTCTGTGTAATTTGATTCACAAGTCGGTTCTTCGATAGGATATGCGTTTTTAGGCAAACATGAGCCAACCTTCTCCTCATTTTCCATCTCATTTCGATCCATTCTTGCGAACACTATGCCTTGAGACCCCGCGCCTTCCGCCGCTGAGGGCCCCGTGGTTGGAACACTAAGGGTCACATTATCGCTCCGGCCAAAGAATGAAGGACCATTCCGTCCAGCACAGGCCCATACCGACTGCCATTCTGGCGACACGGGGGCGTGAGCCCCTAGTCGATTCGGAGGCCTGGAGGTAGAGAGACGCATCATATATTGGTCCCTTTCCTCGAACAGTCGACCCCTAATCAATGCAGGAGCCCTCATGGACGCGACAAGATCCCTCATCACCGCAGGTGCGTCAATAATTGGCCCGGAGACTCCAGTTCGGTTTATCGGGCCCTCAGTTGAAATGCAGCGGAATCCCCTAGTTCCGTACTGGAGGCCCGAACTGACACTGGCGCCTTCCATCGTCTCATTGTAAGCTCATCATAAGGTCTCATACTTTATTTCATTGTCGGAGGGCCCAACCAATGCAAGAGGCCCTCAGGCATTCATTGTGCAATTCCTGTCCGTATTCCCCTGATCGATTCGGCAACTCAGGGCCTCATGTTGGTCACTGTTGGCCCCTGCCCGACACAGGGGCCCTTCGTTCACCCGGGGAACCCGATAAAAGAAAGTCACAGAGCCTTTCCACTGCGTCAATATGAGCCTTCATCATAAGTTCTCAGGTTTCCTTCAATTGTCGGAGCGCCAAGACCAACACAAGAGGCCCTCTGGCATTCAGAGTTCCGTCCCCGTCCCTGCTCAGCAAATGCTTCTCTAGTCCATCCGAGACCCCTTGTTAACACAGGACACACTGTTAGGCACTGTGGGCCCCTAACCGACTCAGGAGCCCCGCATTGCTGCAAGGGCCCCGACCAGTACAAATCGCAGGTCCGACTTTGTCCCTCGGAAAACACATCCCTAGCGCTCGAACCGGCGCAGAGCCGACCGCTCGGTGTTGGGTGTGTCGGGCCGAAACGCGGGCCCACGTTTTCCCAGGGGTGTCCTTTCGGGGTAAGAGGCCCACTGATCGATATTTGAGGTCAAGGCCCTACGAGCGGGAGTCCTTATGCGAGATACAGTTAGCCCTCGGGCCCTTGAGCCTTTCGATCGGGTGCTTGGCCTTTGGTCCCGAGGGCGCCTCCGCATCCCTCTCAGGGCCCCCTGTTGGTCACTGTAGGATCGTGACCAGTAAATAGCTCCTCACTGTCT